TAATCGGTCGTATTCTGTTTTTCATACCCGTAACGGGTAAGAGTGGTTCAAGAAATACAATAGCCCTTAATTTTCCACCTTCTATTACTAACCACTATTTTTAAATAGAAATATTAGTGTCACAAAGTTAGTTGTCATGCTCTTCCAAAACCGCTTCACCGATTTTGATGAAATTTTATATTTATATTCGGTAGGTATGAAAATCAGTCGTGATCTATTTTTTTATCCCTAAGAGATAAGGGTGATCCATCTTATTTTTTGGAAAACATTTTTTGTTCTTATTTTTTTATGATGTGGCAATAAACAATACATACCAACTTTAATTTTCGTCCTTCTATTACTAATTTCTATTTTTTATAGAGGAAATCAATGTAAAAGTGAGTCATTAGAGTTAGAGTTAGTTGCCACACTCATTCGAATCGGCGTGACCGATTTTTTATGAAATTATATGTATATTCTTCTTCTTCAGATGCAAATCCACTAATGGATGTTGGCGATCACATTTTCCATTAATTCTGTATTTCTTGCAATATGTATCAGAGATTATATGTCGTTAATCCCTGTCCATTGCCTTATGTTTCGGAGCCAGGACAACTTCTTGCGTCCCATTCCTCTCTTGCCTTCAATTTTACCCTCGATTATAAGTTGGAGGAACTGGTATTTTTCATTTCGCATGATGTGACCTAGATACGCCGTTTTCCTTTTCTTGATGGTTTCGAAAAGTTGGCGTTCTTGGTTTATTCTTTTAAGGACATCTATATTTGTGATTTTCGCTGTCCATGGTATTTTTAGGATACGGCGATAAAGCCACATTTCGAAAGCTTCTAACCTGTTTATAACCAGTCTTCAAAAAGCCACGATCCCAGGTATTTAAAGTTACTCACTCTTTCAATGGACTTAGTATTCAGTGTTATGGTGGAGTTTTCAAGTGCATCTAAGTTTCTGGAGATGATCATAAATTTGGTCTTTTGGTATTAATCTCTAATCCCATTCGTTTACTGTATTCTCCGATTATAGTGACAAGTTGTTGAAGATCAAATATATATATTAGGTTGAATAAACTACTCTGGATTTTCTTCCAGGGATGTTGTTTTCATTAAAATCAGGTGACACAGCTATAAATCAGAATGACGTAGTCAACCATTCTACAGAGATTTTGGATTCATTGAAATTGCTGGACTTCCACCTAACAATTTAGAGTTAGGATCAGTTGTCATTATTCTGTGTAATATTAATCAACCTCGACTGTGCAGTGGAATGAGACTAACTGTGAAAATGCTAATGAATAATGTCATTACGACAACGATCATACAAAGAAGATGATGTCTTGATCTCACGTATCCTGATGATTTCATCAATAAACATCAATACATCAACAAATACATTAATAAACAAATCACAAAGCCAACCGTTGGAAGTTTGCGAAATTAACTTAACCCTCTAACTGACAAGATTCTAAAAATTATTCTATTTACTTGGGAATTTTTTTCAAGTTTAATAATGTATTACGAAACCTAGAAAAGCTATTAAAATGTAATTATCATTTTTTGTTTGGCTTCCTGGTAAAAACAGGTAAAGGAGTTTTGGGGGTTTTGTGGGGAGATCGACTCCTCCCATATGTCTGTTGTATTCGCGAATGATCTGCGGACAGTTGACTTCGATGTATTTCTTTTTCTTTCGATCATATCGTGGTACTTTTGCAATATGTTGATTTGGATTTGCTCTCAAAAACGGCTCAATGCCAACGTAAGTCGATGCCAGCCGCACGTTCTTGGTATCTTTCCATAAAATTGTACTGAAATCAACACCGTACGCAGATCCAACATATTCAACAGAATATCCTCTTTCTTCATCTTTGATATCCTTATCCAACGGAAGCTTACAGTTTGGGATTCTGTTTGTCCGTATTGTACCAAGGCTATAGATTCCTCTTGCACGTAAATAAACTAACAAAGGTAAAGACGTATAGAAATTGTCGAAGTAAAGGATGTGATGAGAAAAGCTAGGTATGGTCTGTGACAAACGTACAACAACGTTTGATGTACTTCCAAGATCAGGTGCGCCAGGAAGAATTATATTGTCGCCTGCACCGTTGTAAATTTCAAAACGATATGCGTAACCGTGAGAATCACAAAGCACAAACAGTTTGATGCCCCATTTGTGCGGCTTATTTGGCATATATTGACGGAGATGATGCTTGAGTTTGGTCGAACACATCTGCTCATCAACACACAATCTAGCCGTCTTTGGAATCGAATCAAAACGATTGTTGACCTTATCAGCCAATTTCCGGATGCGAAACAGTGGATCATAGCCTGGCTGACCTTTTCGAATGCGCTGCCTTTCATCTTGAAACGATAAGTGTTTCTTTATTGCCATAAACTTTTTTACAGGCATTGTCTTCTGGATGGGGGCGAACGCGTTTTTGCTCCAGTAGCTCTCTAGATTAGGGTATCGATAAATCGACATGTACATCAACACTCCGATAAATTTCCGAATCTCCTCACCACTCGCGGCGAATTTTGTATTGATATTTTCTTGACGAGCTGCATCGTTCGTTTCATTGGCCACCAAATCAATAATCTCTTTTGTGAAGAAATAATTGAAGAGTTCTATTGGTGTTTCCAGTTCTTTTATTGACGATGGCAACCGTACATCTCCTTGGAAAGCTACTTCGTTTACATGCAAGCTCATTGATCGCTTACGCCACGTTACTTTGGTAAATTGTTCCGAATCTTTTTTGATATCCTGAATAGCTGAAATGAGAATAAAAATAGTACACTATTGCTAAAGTATGAATATATAACTATTACCTCTCCCAGTAAAACCACCAATAGAAGGCGTGATCAAAGGTCCAGAATCTTCCATTATAGGTAATGGCGAACGGGGTCGTTTCTTTGGCTTAGAACTTGCAGCATGTGCGACATCGGCGACTGAAGTAGATGGAATTGCTTTCATACATCTAGACGGCCCAGCCTCTTCCTTTTTTAAAGATTCGACACATTCGTCAGCTTCGATTTGCACCGCCGTTAGCATTGTTGATGATGCAGCAGGTGTTTCTATGTCACTGATATTTAGCGACATGTTCACATTTTGAATAAAATAGTCGCTTGTTTCACCTGCTTGCATTTCACGGATACACTCTGTTATCATGTCATCTGGAGCGATCTCATCCTGCTCGTAATCTTGGTCGATGTCTGGATCATCACTGCTATAATCACTTGACGAATCCGTTTCAACAGAGTCCATAAGTTCTTGGATTTCATCTTCGGTCATTACCGACAAATTAAACTTTTTCTGTCTCCAGCTGTTATTGCCTGCCATTTCCAGAAGCAAAATAAACAAATAACTGATGAAAGTTGGTAAACAATAGCACAACAACACAACACAACAATCACAACAAAGTGAGACGAAACTTCACATAAACCGGCAAGGGGTCCCTCAGGAACCCTTTTTATTTTCGCTTCTAAAGCACACTCAGAATACTTGTTTTGTAATAATTACAATATATAGTGAAACTTGAAGCTCTAAACCACTCATAAAAAATGTTTTCACTAAATTTAGATTATTTGTAGTATCATAATTTTACGTCGAAAAAAATTTTTAAATGAGAGATAATTGTTCTGTGTTCACCTCGACCTGTCGCAGAAAACTGAGACAAAAATGTAACGATAAGGTTTAATGAATTTAGAATGCATTTGAAACGTCTCTAGACGAACTAGTGGGGGAGATTCAAAACAGTTTGCGGCTACCTGACTTTTACCTGCGGCTTAAATAAACAATAAGCGAAGGGGCCCTCAGGGACCTCTTACCAGTTAGAGGGTTAAGAGTTTTCATGTTTCGCGCATGGGCAATTAATCGCGTGTCGGAAAACCGTCATCATTGTTTATTTATTTAACAAAAAAAATTTCCAGACAGCATTAAATTGATTCAGTTTTTTTCATGCATAAAATGTTTAAGTATTTTTTGGTTATATTTTTCTGTTAATTTTTTAGACACTTTATTTAATTCTAAGACGGTACGAAGTTCGCCGGCTCAGTTAGTTTTATAAATATTTTTATTGGGGATCATAACAGTATAACATAAAAGTCACCTAATAAGTCATTATTCTACTATCGGTAGTCAGATGTGGGTAAACAATCACTACTAAAGATAAGCTGGGTCCACAGAGTTAAAAATATGAAAGTTTCTGGATGGCTGAACCAAATACAACTTTTAACTATTATAGAGAAACGCAAGCTGGAATACTTCGGTCAAATTATGAGACACCCTGAAATATACGATTTTTATATCTAATCATTCAGGTAAAGATCCAAGGTAAACGTGATTGTGGAAGAAGAAGAAAGTCATGGCTGAACAATCTAAGACAATAATACGGAAAATCGATTACATAATTATGGTAGCCAACATAAAACTAGAAAAGCAGAAAAAGTGTTAAAAAAATAATTTAGAATTCTCAATAAATGTTAACTCGATATATCTTGTATTATTATCGCTTACTACATCCTCTTCATATTGTCCAAATCATTTAACTATCACGAGGTTTGTTCACTATTTTGTTCAAGTTCCCTATTAATTATCTAGTCAATTATTTACTTTTTCATGAAAGTTTAATTGCAATATCTGCATAGTCTTTGGTCGTTTTTGTTTCGTGGTCATTTTATCTTGTTTTTGCTGGATACCGTGATGTTAATTCAGTATTAGTGGAGTTCTCTAAATACATCTTGTCGCTTGTTTGTACGTTCCAGTATCCAATATTCGCTATACATTTAGTTGCAAATTTCGTACTCCATCGAAATTTCGAGAATGTCCTAAGAGACTTTTACAATATTACAGATGATTTTAATTTTTTTCTGTATTTTGGTAGTGATTTTAGAAATTCTAATATTCTTTTTCTTCCACCTTATAGTAATTCTAATTTCATTAAGGCAAATATTTAAACAGGTGAGTTTGGTCAATATTCAACACTAATAATGAATATCTAAAAATATTACACTTACCGCAATACATTTTGTAACTTGTACTATAACGTTGCCCTCTGGTTTTTTGATTCTATACGTTGGTCGTCCTGCGGCGAAGATGACTAAAACATTATAAAGATATATATTACAATAGATAAAAACTTTTTAATGAAATAGTGTACATCTTTTTTGTGTGGTAATTTTTTCTGTTAACAAGGTCCTATTATTTTGACATTACACAAAATATAATTCTCTTCCTTCCAATCTCTTATTATAAATATCATTTTCTCTCTTTACCCTCCTTCTTTCCATTCTTCAGGATTCATAATGACAATAACCAGTAACGTTTCTATTGTTTGAATAATGACCAATAAAATAATAACAAATAACACTTACCTACAGCAATTACCATCAGAATTCCAGGAACTGCGAAAGCCAAAGGAAAACAGCTATTATTACCGAAGCAATGTACATCATTTCTTAAAATGGGAGTGACAAACATAGATAGCAAACCTCCAGCATTGACAGAGAAGTAAAACAATGAAAAAAACCTCTCTAGTTCCTTCGCCTGTTGAGGTAGGCGAAATTGGTCTCCTCCAAATGCTGCGACGCATGGTTTAATACCACCGGTGCCTATGCCTATGATCATAAGACCCAATAGTGAGAAGCCCTAGAAATTTTTCACAAAGTAAAAACAAAACAGAAGAAATAACAAAAAACAATTTTTGTTATTTCTATAATAATATATTATATATATAATATATAAATTAGAGAAATGAACTTATATATATATATATACTATAATAATATATATAATAATATATATATTAGAACTTTATACTTATGGTGAATTGGGGAAATTAAAATAATAGATAATAATAGATTTACAAATAGATATATTGGAAAGTTGTTTCGTTTCAAAATTCAAAGAAAAACCGATTGCCAGGTTTTTAATGATGTGCAATATGCAAATAGCGATTAACCGCAGCTTTTGTCTTTTAAATCTGAGAAAGTTTAGAAAGTTAATTTATGTTCAGTATGAAAGTCAATATATTGTTGCGAATGTATAGAAAATAAGAAAAATATAAATTTGATGGATTTCATAGGAACTAAAAATTCTGTTTGTTTTTTTTGAAATATTAAAAGATCATTAGTTAAAAATAGAGAGTGGAAGGAGAATTTGTATGTTTAATGGATGTTTTGAAGCAGAAGACAGCAGCATTGTTTACTCTCCGCAAGAGGAAGAATATCTAATCCTGAAAAGGGAATTGTGGGCCGGTACTTTTAAATGGTGAAAAAGTAATTTCTGCGAAATAAAAGTAAATTATTCGAAAGTCTTTAAGAAGTGGTAGCAGTGGTTATTCCATGGAGATATTATAACGCTCATTGGTGCATGCAGAAATAAATATTTGCAGGATTTTTAAGTACGAATAAATTATTACTTGCATCGGGAGAAATTAGGGCTAGGAGAATTTGGTATCCAAAAGGAGATAGGAGAATTGTTAGGAAGTGTGATCTAGATTCCGTTTTGTAAGCAGAACCAAGAGGGAGTTTGGCTGGTGAGTTTGACAATAGAATATCCAGGTCAATTTAAAAATTGGAATTAGTTGAAAGTTAATCGGTTTTATTAAATTTGGAAAACATATTGTAGATATACAAGTTAGGTTATACAAGTTAGCAGATAAGAAAATAGCACAGAAATACAAAAGCTATGTGAACAAAGTCTACAATAGCACTTAAACCAGAACTATGGCTAGAAGAAACTTGCAAAACGAATCTCTCCTAGATGGGGGCAAGCAAATCTGCGGAATAGCTAAAATCAATAAAAACAGACAATGTACGAATTGGTGGAGTAATGAAATAAAAGAAGAGGTCAAATCCAAGAAGTTAGCGTGGAAGAAATATCTAGGGAACCAGAATGCAGAAAGCTATAAAAATATAAGCAACAGAGGGCAAAAGTAAAAGACATGGTGATTGAAGCAAAAAAGAAGAGCTGGGAGGATTTTGGGAATAAGCTGGAGAAAGACTACCACACTAACCAAAAACTATTTTACAAAACTCTGAGAAGCCTAAGAACAGAGAACCGACAACAAACACCAAAATAAATTAAAAACAAAGATGGCCACATCCTCTGCGAGAACGAAACGTATTATGAACAGGTGGAGAGAATATTTCGAAAACCTTCTGACTCAAAAAGACTATAATAATGAAATAGACAACACTGAAGAAAACCAATATGAGAACCCAAACCAAAACGAAATAACAATAGAAGAAATAAGAGAAATAATACTCAGGCTCAAAAGAGGAAAGGCAGCTGGCTATGATAAGATAACTGCGGAAATGCTAAAAAATATGGGAGAAAATGGAAATGAAATGCTTAGAAAAGTTTACAATAAAGCATGGAATGAGAACAAGATCCCAAAAGACTGGGAAGTGGGCGTTATTCTACCCATTTTCAAAAAAGGTGACAGACGAGAATGCAGCAACTACAGAGGTATAACTCTCCTGAGTATCCCTTCCAAAGTTTACGAACGAGTACTGGAGAAAAGACTACTACAAGAAGTAGACCATAAGCTGGAGCAGTCACAGAGCGGTTTCAGGAAGGGAAGAAGCATCCATGACCATATTTTTACACTCAAGCATCTAATACAAAATGCACGAAATACAAGCACGGAACTATACCAAGCCTTCATAGACCTTGAAAAAGCATTTGATAGAACCCCGCGAACCGAAATAGACAAAAGCCTAAGAAACAGAGAAGTAGACAGCAAACTCAGAAAAGCTATTATGAGCCTATACAAGAACACAAGAAACAGAGTAAGAACAGATAATATGGAATCAGAAGAGTTTAGAGTCAATGATGGCTTACGACAAGGAGGTGTACTAGGCCCCATCCTGTTCAATATTGTACTAGATGATGTAATGAAGGAAACTAGAGAAGAAACATCGAGAATATTTGTTGGACATAGAAACCTGGAAATGATACAGATAGCGGAGTGCGCATTTGCAGATGACCTCGTCGTATTTGGAAGAAACGAGGACGCACTTAAGAGAAACCTCCAAATATGGAGAGATAAACTTGAAAAACGTAATCTGAGAATTAATGAAAGTAAAACCAAGGTCATGGTATGTGGGAAAACAGACCAACATACAAACATTAAAATCAATAACTATACTTTAGAACAAGTCGAAACCTTCAAATACCTGGGAGTGCAACTAGAGAGTAGGGGTACACAAGAAGCAGAGATAAACAATCGAATAGCAAACGCTTCCCGGATATACCACGCAATTAAGAGCACATTCCTATCGAAAAAAGAAGTATCCCAAAAAGCAAAGATAGCTATCTACAACACAGTTTTTGTACCTATCTTAACATTTGGATGTGAAAGCTGGACGCTCACCACCAGACTAAAAAATAAACTGCAAAGTATTTCAATGAAGTATCTAAGAAGAGTACTAGGGGTGACCAGAATGGACAGGATACGGAACGATGAAATAAGAGAACGCCTTAAAGTCCAATCAATAGAGAAGAAAATCGAAGAAGCCCAACTGAGATGGTACGGCCACATGGTAAGGATGGATAAAAAAGCCAAGTGAAACAAGTGTGGGAAGCGAGAAGAACCTTGAAAAGACCGAGGGGCAGACCCATGAAGACCTGGGACGATGAAATTGCCGCCATCCTAGACAGGAAAGGAGTCACCAAGAAGCAAGCGAAGAAATTGGCAAGCAACAAGCAGAATATTAGGAAGTTTGTATATGAAACCTAAAAAGGCACTTTACACCCAACACCTTAGGGTATATATTATATATATATATATATATATATATATATATATATATATATATATTGTAGATATATAAATATTTTGAAAGGAAACAGAAATCCATTTAATGTATAAAGTTGTTTTTCATAATTCATGTAAAGTAGTATATGTTATTTAGTAAAGCGAATTTAATTTGTAACACAAATAATTTATATTAGGAATTGAATCCTAAAATTTTAGGTTCTATGTTTGATTGAAGTCTAAGTATGATTAATGATTCCTTTGTCAATGGTCAGGAATAGCCTGTATCCAATTGCACATACTTGTGTGATAAGTCTAAAGGCATTTGATTCCTGGGCAACGGTAAGGCTTAAATCCTGGTGTACCTACACATCAATATACTGTACCGTTTTTAAATAAAATGAGCGAGAATCTTATCAACTAACTTAGCAAATATTGGAGCTACTTATATATATATATATATTGTTATGATTTTGTATTTTTGATTTTAATTTATTTACTTGAAACAATCACAAAAATATACTTTCTCGTTATCAATGTCCTAAAAAATAAACTTCTGATATTTCTTATGTTCAGTGAGTTCAAAGTTTTCTAGTTGTATTTATCGGGATAGGAAAAACAAAGGATAATAATAAAAAGTATAATACATAAAATACAGATATTTTTTATTTTATAAAAAAAAAACAATTATTAAATTTGCCGTTATCTTTTCAATCAGCGAATATGCATGTAATGAAATTAATACAAAAAGAAAATTTTAATTCTTATTTTCTTCTTGAGACAAAACAATTTGAAACTAATTTAAATTTGGATACCTTTATAAACTTTTATCTTCCTTATATTTAAAAAATCTATTTTATTATGGAAACAAAACTTTAAAACATTTGATAAATGTAAAAAGGTCTAATCATGCTTTAAACTGGTAACAACAATGAGGTAAACAAATCGCATTTAAGATTTACACACCTTTCAACTTGAAAAAGGAAAATATCTGACCTTTCTTCCCTGGATTGTTTTAGGACCACACAAAGAATTGTCCACCTTCCACAGCAATGTGTTCTTCCACCTTGCGCCTCGGCTTCTTGTTTCAGTATCTGCTCCTTCAGCCAATTTAACTGACTTAATTTAACCTCCTGACTCAATTCTCCAACACTTAACACACGAAAATCACTTCTTCAAACATTCATATAACTTCTTCGTGACCCAAGGATCTCTTTTCTCACCTGGTGCCACAACTATTTAACACGTATTCCAGAAACTGCACACTTTAGATTCAAGGATTTCTTTACATCGACTTGCAATCTACTTCTTCCACAATTCTGCTAACAAGACTGGTAACTTTATCCACTTAACAATGCCGGCCTCCAACTCACGAACACACCGCCTGTCGAGACGCAACCTTTCTTTTCGATCACTCAAACATCACTGTCTTCTCGAACCAACAAAAACTCTATCAACCCTCGGTCTGTCGATTTCCCCTTCCAAAAAGATCGTCTCATCACAAAATCCAAATTTGTTTACCACACTTGTTGGAATGCTAATTACCGTTTTCAAGCAAGGAACTTTAATCTTTTAACAATGGTCATTTCCTTGTAAACAAATAATTTTTATACATTTCAAAGATTTTTTGCCTTAGTCATAATAGAAGATTTATACAACACAATACCGGACTAATCCTTCAGGTAACAGCTTATTTTCTATAATGTACAAATGGTTTGTCAATAACTCGTTTAGAATGGCTTAGTTCTTTATAAGTCATAAAATTTCGGTACTAATCTATCTATTTACAAATATACAAACTTTCTATCTTAAAATTAATACATATTTTGTCTTCAGATTTCTTAAAAACTTACTTCCGATGGATTCCTTAATTATTTTTGTTCCT